GTAGATTGACCAATCGGTTGGATTCACTAAATCTTGAGTTTCAAAATCCTTGATAAGTCTTCTTCTACTTATTCTTTGGAAACCTGATTACTGAGTACTTCGCAAGTCCACTCTTCCAAGGTGCGCTATTCTTGCCCCCAAAGATCTATACTCTTTTCCGATACTTCAGAAACAAAGAGTGATTCTTATCAACCTCGACTACAGATGAATGCCGCAATGTCTAAAACCTTTTGTGAATAATGGAAGTTCATGTTAGATATCAAGGCTTGCTTGAGAGAAGTGTGTGCAAATTGTGCAAAACCATTTTGGTATATCAAGCCATGAGAGTATCCATAAGCCCTCACTATCACTCTTCTTTTCACTCTCACTCGTTCCTATGGTGCTTTGATTTTACGACATTTTGGCTACCATTAAGATTCTCATCGCCATGACATGTTTCCCTCTATGTTGATGGTCAGATGAGTTTGAGGTTTAGGTTCTCTCAACATGAGAATGCTTCATGTGATTGGTTTAGGTAATCTTCATGTGGTCTTGTCGTGGAGGCATGCAATCTTCCCTTAAAGGAGGTCATTGATTGAACCTGACTTCAATCACAGGGATCTTCTTGCCATGGAAATCTATTTTTCTCGAGATGTGACTTTGAGTGACGAGATAGTAGAAACTCGTGGTGAATCTGGTTTTAGTCATATGAAGCTTTCTGATGATGGGTTTTGGCTTTCCCCCAAAGTATGAGATCAAATGGTGTATAGGAGGTCGTTGACGGGTTTGTAGGTTCTTTTTATTGAGGTGGTCTCTCCTACTCGAAAATAGCGGTGAATTGGTCATCTTTGGGGAGTGGATTTGGGGCTTGTGTTACTCCTTTCTTTTGAAAATTTGCTTTTCAAAGGACAAGGTCCAGTAGGGAGCAAATGAATTCTCGATTGGTCCCAAAGTGGCATGCTGAGGAGGTTTTTGTGTGAAGTGGCAGTGACTGCAAAGGTTTCTTATCATGTAAGCTCTTGCTTGAGGTTCCACTCGTTGTTGGTCGAGGCTGGTCGACAGACCTTGAGTTGCTCTGGGTGGTTATGACTTCATATGGTATCAAATGGGCATCTAAATTGTAAGTCCTACAATACTTTTCTTTGCCTTTTGGCTCGTTTTTGTTTTCCTGAATGTTGAACTTACTTGACCTTGTTATGCCCCACATATGTATTTCATTAATTCTCTCCTACGACATCTGTGTTTCTAAGAGCGATCACAGGTTTTCGTTGATCGACAAGGTGAGTGCCTCCCTCTTGTTGACTAGGCTAATTGATTATTTTTTTCAAAGAAGCAAGATCTTTAACGTCGTATCCTCATTGTACTATTTGGATGCTTTCTCTGTTTGGATTCTTCACGAATTGGATTTGGGCATGTATGTCGGATCTCCATGGAAGTTTTTTGCCTTTTCACTCCTCAATCAGCTATGTTATTCCTGGGGTTTATTAAATCAGAATCTTAAACTTCCCCATCTTCTAGTCATGAGGGTACAGTGAGAGTTTTTCTAGCAATGTATTTCATGTGCATCATGAATATGCTACTTGACTTTGTGCCTAGTTGGGTATCAGTTTGCTAGCAAAGGCATGTCGTGTTAGTGACAAAATTCTACAAATATCTTGGTGTCGTATCCTCGTTTCACCATTTGACTATTAGCTCACATGATTTTATGGACACCAGTGGGGTGTTTATACTCTTGAATCTAGGGAAGTGTGCACACTCTCAACACCAGTGAGGTGCTAAAAATATCGATACCACTAGGGTGTTTATAATCGCTCGACATCAGTGGGGTGTTCCAACTCTTAACACCAGTAGGGTGCTCATAAATGCTCATCATGTCAATCTCATGGCTTTACTTGAAAACATGTGATGAATTTATGATTTTTTGTTTTATGCAAATCAAGTCGAAATATTTGAAATAAACATTCATTATTTGAAAAGATAAGGACTATTGATGCCAAATCCAAAATCGAGATTGATAATTATAAAAAACTGTCCCAATTAGGTGGACATATGAGTGATCTTTTATTTCTTATGGCAAAAGCAAAAGGCAGTACATCTTTAACATGACAAACTATCTCGATATTTATTTGTTCTCAAAGATCCACATGATCCTTGAATCGAGCATTGCTTTGCGGCGTGCATGCTAATTGTCATGACTAGGTAGAGGACTGTTGTTGATGTTTGGAGGGTTCGGCTCTTCTTCGAACTTCAGTTCAACCAACCGACATTCATCATTTGTTGGACTTTGATCTTGAACATTCGACAATCTTTAGTTGAGTGTCCCGCGACTCCCGAGTGGTATGCATAGTGTTGATATGACTCGTACCAATTTGGATAAGGAGGTTGCATTGGAAGACACGGTATAGGGGCAATTAAGTGATTTTGGAGCAACTTGGGAAATAGCTCGATATATGTGATGGGGATAGGATCGATATGAACTTGTTTTCCGTATCTTCTGAAACTAATTTGATCTTGGTCATTGGTTTGTGGGGGCGTGGGTAGCGGAGTTTTGATTTCTAGTTGTGGGCTGATTATGCTTTGATGTTTCATCGATGTGGTAGTTGCAAAAGATGCACAAGCTCGATTCCTTTGAAAGTGGTGCTTCGAAGGTTTACCTTTTGCTTTACCTTGAGTTGATCGCAATTCACATTTATTTCTTTTGCTTTGGATTGCCGTCTCAACCACTTCATGATTTTCTGACTTTCCTTGTCTAATGTCGATCACATGCTCTTCAAGCCTTTCTGATCTTCGAGGATTGTCGTATTTTAATTTTTTTTTTGTAACATGTACGTTCTTTGAGAGTAATAGGTCAGCCTGATCACTTGATGTTGCTTTCCTGGGTGGTTGGTATAAAATTTCGTCATCGAACAGCGCGTCATCATCTTTTACTCCCGCTGTCTTCTCATTGTTTGACCAAATCCTCAGAATCACGCTCACTTCCTCTTTCATCTCTTCAAGACCAATCAATTTTTCCTTGATTTCAGCTAAATACTTCAGAATTGTCTCCATGATGAGTTAGGCCTTAGATCTTGTCGAACACTTAACGATTTGACTCTTTCCTCGTAGATGATCAATTTTTGCAACCCTAAACCATCTCAATTTTGAAAAATTATTTCCAATTTTTATGATGAATGTGTATGCGTGATGCTTATGCAAAATGTTAATGATGTATGTATGAATGCAAATTCATTTTTCATCTTATGCATGCGTTTTTAATCTTCTTATGATAAGTTGTGAATGAGTGAATGAAAATCTTATGACAGAATGATGTTTATGAGTTTTGAAAACTTTTTTCATTCATACAATCACACAGTTTTACGAGTAAAAGATAAAACGCACATCATTACATCGTAATCAAACATACATCTAGATAAGCAAACACATATCATTACATCATTACCCTAATTAGGTAGACCTAGGGCTTTCAGACGGCGTAACGACATGGTTTCAGGGTGGCTTTGGGGATTGTTTTGGATGGTTGAGGGTAGCTTCTAAGTATACTATATGCTAGTTAAGGAATTCCTAGGGATTTGGCTCCCAAGTTGTATCCTGCCCTAGCCCTTTCGAACTGGTTGGATACCTCGAGATCATCCTCGGATCCGAGTTCAACTTGGTTGGAAAGTTTTGCGTGACTACCACAACTGTGGATGTCATGGTACTCCTTTCGATTTTCGAAAGGGATAGCTCGGGCATAAAGCTTTTGTGCATGAATGCAACAATTAAATTGCGAAAACAAAATTGCGCAAATAAGAAGTAAACACCCAACATATTAAAGAAGGTTAGAAAAATTATCGAACTTATTTATGTAGCTCGACTCTCTGTGTTCCCATTGGAGTCGCCATCTATCGCAACCGTCCTCCGGGGTCGGGTCGCATTTGCTTTTGGAGTCACCATCGATCTTACTTGGAGTGGAACGAACACTCTTCGGTCGGCTCTAACCTTAGGTCAGAACTGGGGCTTGGTCTGCGGTTAAGAGATTCGGTTTCGGGAGTACGGTTACGTGTGGGGAAGTGAAATCACACCCCACAACGCCCTAAATCAGTACTACTTAAGTTGATAAGTTTTAAACAAGTTGGGTGTATTTTAGTACTACTATATCGCCATCTGTCGCAACCGTCCCTCCGAGGTCGGGTCGGGGTCGCGTTCACTTTTTGGAGTCGCCATCGATCTTACTTGGAGTGGATCGAACACTCTTCAGTCGGCCCTAACCTTAGGGACAGAACCGAGCGATGGTCTGCGATTTTGAGATATGGGTTCGGGAGTACTGTTACGTGTGGGGAAGTTAATCAACACCCCCACAACGCCCTAAATCGGTACTACTTAAGTTGATAAGTTTTATACGAGTTGTGTGTATTTAATGTATTTTTCGAGACCCACTGGACCGCTAAAGATTCTTATCGTATTAATTTGTAATTTTGATTTTACGCCCAGTGTCGTTCATTTCAAAAATAAATTTTGTTAGTTAGTTGGACTCAAACCTTAGTGGTTGCCTACGTAATACGGGATCAAAGTCCACGTAGTTTGTTAATTTTTTATGTTTTAGTTATAACCACATTCCAATGATCGTGACTCTCGTATTAAGAATTTTGTTAAGAGAAACATAAGAATTTTAGTTGTTAGGGAGATATATGATGTATTAGAAAAGAAACAGGATTAACTTAATCCGCATTCGAAATTTCGTATTAAGAATAGTAAATAATAAAATGAAACAGAATGATTAGATTTATGCATGATGGGCCAGCAGCCCAACTAGCTAAAGCGCCAGTCGCATAGCGCATTCGTACCTGAGTACACGCGTTCGGAACTCGCTCTCAACAATTTTTGTGATTTTCGTTTTTTTAGTGCAGAGATAGGGGAAGGGCACTTTGGTAATTACTCAGAAAGATAGTGGCAGGGGTATGTAATTTCAGCTAAACCCTAGGGGTATTTTAGTCGTTTTAAAATGTTAATTATATATTCTTCTTCGGAAATCCTAAAAGAACATAGCGGCCACCACTCACTCTCGCCTCTCGCTTCTCGCCTCTCTCTCTCTCTCGTCTCTCTTTCCCATCTGCAACAAACACAACGAACAAAGAAGAACAGAAAAAATTGCCTTCTTCCTCTTCTCTCTCATTCTTCCTCTTCTTCCTACCTAGAAAACGAACACCTAATCGAGACCCTTCTCCTCTCCTCTAGCCGCCTTCTCTCTCTCGATTCTCTCTTCCACAACCAACATGAAAAACTCGCCCTGAAATCTCCTCTCACCTCTTCTATGTCGAGACCAAATGGAGTCCGGTGACCAAAAAGATCCACGATAATTCCAACCCGAAGGTCGCCGGTGGCGTGAACGACGAAGGTGAGTTTTTTAGGTTGCATGCTTCATTTTCTTTGGTTTCGGCTTTGAGTTTTTAGGGTTTTCGGAATTATAATCTCCCTTTTCGGTTTTACTTTCGAAAATTGACCGACCACCGAGAGGGGCTTCCCGGTATGCTTCCTTTATTTCTCGATCTATCCGTCATAGGTGGCACGACGGCCACAATGAAACGACCTTACCCTCTGGTAAGCCTCTCTTAACATGCATGTTTAGATAAAAAATTTCTCATAAAAAGTTATTTTAATCTTGATTTTGTTGGTTTTTGGTTCAAGCAGAATTCTAATTTTTCTGGGTTTTAGTTTTGGACTAGGGATTTGGTCGAGGAGAGGAAAGATAGAGAGGGAGCCGTCGGTGATGAGGTTATTTCATCAATGCCAACGAGATCTAGGTTAGGTTTAGATTTGCATGTAGAGTTTTTATTTTTATTTTTGAGTCCAAAGACGAGTTTCTAGTTATCTTCTTTTCCTTGATATTGGTTTTGGTGGCGGCGAGACCCTTGTGGGGACAACCTTGTCTCAAAATGAAAGGTAATATTTTGACTCCTAAATTAACGTTAATCTGTCGTTTTTATTTAGTAATAAATATACTCAAATCTAATTCAAAGCTTTATTCTTCTTTCTTGCGGGTTTTGGGAAAGGCAGAACTTAGGTGAGGTTCCTCTAAACCCGAGAGATTAATCTAAAAATGATTTTTTTTTTTGGTTAATTGTTTCTAGAGTTGCTACCAGATCCGGGGTTTTGAAAAATGGTTATTTTATGTGCTTTGGGCTCTTATTTTGCAAGTTAATTTCATAAAAACAAAGTAGTTTATAAAAAGTCTAGATCATTCATGATCACTGCCACTGCTTGCGATCACTAAACTAAAATAAACTAAAGTTTCCAGCAATGTGGTTTGATTGGGATTTTGTGATTTATTAATTTGAAAGCTAATGAGGGTTTTATGAAAATAAAATATGTAATAATATAGCGATATGTAGATCTAAATCTAGTAAATCGAATGTAGGGTTTCAAAGCTGATTCCATATTCTAGGGTAGCAAACTCTGCATATGTGTGTTGTATATGTGTTTGATTATACGTGTGATGCATGTTTGGTTAGGTTCCGGTGTTTGGTTGTGATCTTCATATTTGGGTTTGGAAGATGGATGGTTTTAATTATGATAATCTTAAATCCGTAATTGGATCTATGTGGTATATATATTGGATTTATGCTGCTCCTATAATACGCATATGACAGTAGTAGTGTTCGAATCTATTTTCTATAAAAGTGAAGGAATTTAAATGTGGTGAAAATTAAGTTGGACAAAATATATAGCTCGTAGTGAAGGTAAGCTCGCAAAAATAGTACGCACCCGAGCAGAAATCGTATAAACGGGAATAGACTATGAAAGCAAGTTGATAATCGGTATGTAGTTCATCGTACAAATTAAAAGTTCTTGGCAACATGGATTAAGTAGTACAAATCACCAACCTCAGATTCGAAGAGCAACACTCCTTTCGTTTCTGTTTTGGCTACTCTATTTGGCTACTCGTTGTGAAAGATCGATCATCCTCATCGTGCTTTGAGAAATTTGGATCTCTAAATCCTTAGCCTTCAACTTTTACCCGCTCTAAACTGGAGATTTTTCTAAAAAAGGAAAAAAGCAAAGATGTTTCTCCCTGTCTTTCCAGTGTCTCCACTCACCAAAAGCCATCCCCAAACTAAGAGCCCAACGTGCTTTTTACTAGCAAAAGAAAGTGCCATGTGTCACTTGGTCATTGGCTGATTTTTAGGCTGAAAATGTCGTCCTTTTTTATTAGATGGATTTTGAGGCTGCCAATGAGCCTCCACCTTGCTTTGTCGGTTCTAACTGGTCAGAGCCGATTCTGGATAATGTTGGCACATGGCTTCAGGCCGAGTTGGGTGAGTTGGGCCTAGAGTTGTGGACCGATCTGGTCTTTGTCCGGGATCGTAATGGGCCGAGTTTGTCTACACCTTGGGCTTGCACTTGCATCTCGAATTTGGCCTTCAACTTTGCTTTAACTTGTCTTGAAGTTGGGCTGGGCTGATCTGATTTTATTTTATTTTGCAGGTTGCTTTTACTGATTGGGCCTCAAGGCTTCAAGTGATGGGTCAAGCTTGGATATAAATAAAGTTTCAGCCCATTGTATTAGGGATTGCTTAGTAGTATATGTAAATCCGAATTTTGTAGCGGTGTTACATGTTGGTAATGGATTTCAAATTTGTGAACGAAATCTTATCGTCCTCGTCTTCCCATATTGAACAAATCCTCTAATACAAGACATAACTTCGTCTCATACTTCGACCGTCATTTGCAAGTAATTTTATTTGAGTTCAAGCGCACTCTACTTCGATTGCTTGACGTCTTCAAGGTATGCTTTCAACCTGGACAAAATGTGGTGTCTACACTAAGAGAGCTACCTTGGTAGCTTTATCTGAATTCCTTGGCCTAGGGCCCGAGAGAGTGATGTTCCATCACTAACTACACTTCACTTACGATTCTCTATCACCTCCACCATGCATATTCAGTCATTCCGACAAGTCATGGTAGCGAGTTCGGGGGAGCTACATCCGGGTGAATCCTTCTCATTTAAGAGTCAAAACCAATTACTTTTACAACCGCTTTGATAGTAGATCGTAGTTTTCAATCAAACAGCCAATTGCTAGATAATGTTTCAAACAATCGAAGTAGGGGCACATGGACCGGCCCGGGTTGATATTTAAATATACTTGCCCCATATTGCACCCAGTTAAGGTTTATACTTGGGCCTTAATTGGGAGTTTTGTTGTGATATTCGAGACGATTCAGTCATCGGTCAACTTGTTCATGAACATGGCGCGTCGAATTGGGGATCCACGAGGTCGAATTCGAAGATTTTGAGCTCAAAGAAGGAATTTGGCGAATTATTCGCATCATGATCGTGAGTGAGTATGTTGGAACTCTCGTGAGTCATGAATTCATAATCGATTTGAATATGGCACTTAGAGCAGGCGACGGCGATGGTGGAAGCGAGGAATGAGGGTTTTGATTGGGAGGTAGGGTTTTTCATTCGAGTTAAATAGAAGAAGAAGAGGAAGGGCCAGGTCACAAGTTGGATTTGTGTATCTTATGTGGCGGGTTTTAATGATGTTGCGGGTAAGATTTTAAAAAAAATTCCGTGTTAAAATTGATTGATTATGCATTTTTGTTAGGTATATCATTAAAAAACTGACGTCTTTAACAAAGAGTGATATAAGATAATGACCAACGATCAAACATGGATTGTTGAACAAATTTCAGTGACTCCGAATGAAATAAAATATGTGGTAGTTGCGATTATTTTGGTGAGATTGTTACTATACATGCATTGTTTAGAATGCATCATTTTTTTTTATTTTTTAGCAGAAACAATATATGGATTATTTCTGTGATGTGACAGAAACTATCACTCAAAATGAGTGATTGTTATATCTCAACTTTTAGATGTGATTGTTGAGATAGTTGATTTGAGATTGTTTTTTCTCAACTTTTAGCTGATGTGACATACACAATTACACATATCAAACATTGTATTTTACAATGCATCAAATTCGACAATACATGTATAATATTATACATGCATTCACAACAACACATATATTTAATAACCTCAACTTCCAAACAAACCCTTAATTACAAACGCGAAACAATTTAGTAATTTGGTGAAGAAAGTTGCAAAATATATTTGTATGGCCTGAACTTTGATCATATTAAACATCCTGGCCAATCTTTTCGATCTAAAACATCGTGGCCCAAACTATACATCAAAGTAATGACATTGGCCAAACCCGATGTTTGACCGTTATCTTGGACGGTCAAACGCATTGACTAACGATCAACATGTCACGTCACCGACCGGTCAACATTAACTTGATTAAAAAATTCTCAATTTTCACAAATTCCAAATTTTCAAATTTTATCTAAAATAAAAAAAGAAAATATATTTTTTAATCCTCTCACCCCCAAACACTGGCCATTTGCCACCCCGCTTTTCAGTTTCCTCTTTGATTCTAAAAACCTAATTCGTGTCCGATTTCCAGCTTCAATTGCGATCGAGATCTCTATCTATGCCAATTTGATTAGGTGAAGCTCTCTTGCTTCCCGTCGATCGAATCCGACCCGCCAATCGGTATTTAACCACGACGACACCGTAATTGGGGGCTAATCAGTCACGGTCTCGCCACCAACCTAGCGTAGGACTTCTCTTCTTCCTACGCTTCAACAATGCCCCTCGCACCCACACTCTCCAGTACCTCGAGGAAAAACAACAAAAGCAAGTTTATCAGCAATCCGTAACCCGCCACCACTCGGTTCACCTGTCGGTAAGCAAATCTCAGCGAGGATTTGATATGGATTTCGACGAGTGCTTGCGGTGGTTTAGTGTTTACTTTGAGTAATGAGCGCTTGATGCGGGAGAGAGGATCCGGAACGCCGATTTGGGATCTGTTGGCATGTCCGTCAGCGGAGTTGATGGAGCGGAGGGAGACTGCAAGCGTGGTCGACGAGGAGATCGACAAAATCGCCGCAGACGCTAGATCCGCCTATGTTGGAGACCAGGAGAGAAGAAGATATGGATGGTTATGTTTAATTTTTGTTTTAATTAAGAGCAGAGTTTGATTGGTCTGAAGAGTATTATGTTTAATTTGGGGTTGGGGTTTGGTAACAGACGAGAGAGCTCTCTGTCGAAGAAGAGGTTGGGGGAGTAGACGGAGGGAAGCTGCAAGTGGAGTTTCAATTTTTATTCTAATTTAATTATAATAATTCAAATTAGAAAATATGTGTAAATTGTGAATATTTTAATGATTTTTATGATGAGCGGACGGTGACGTGGCATGTTGATCATTAGTCAATGCGTTTAAGATAATGTTCAAACATTGGATTTGGCCACTGTCGTTACTTTGATGTATAGTTTGGACCAAATTATTATAGATCGAAAAGATTGACCAGAAAGTTTATTATGCTCAAAGTTCAGATCATCTATCTACAAGTATATAGATAGCTGAATATTTTTTCTGCACCCCCATTCAAAATTTTCTGGAACGAGAGTGAAAGTAGGAAGGGTATTTTTGTCTTCACAATGATCTATTTGTTTCTCATTTATTCTTAAGAAAATACACATACCAGGATTTGAACCGTGGTCATTTTCAACTATGATAAGAATCTTAACCAATCACACTACATAGATTAGTTGTATCTTTTTATATAAAAAAACATACATGAAGCTAAATTTAAAAAATCATGGTTAACTTCATAATAAATCTTCTTTCTTCTCTCTCTTCTCTCTCTTCTCTTATTCTCTGAGCGGATTTAGGGTTTTTGGAATGGCCGCCGTCGTTGACGGAGCCTTGCCGGGCGCCGTCAGCGGCGGCAGGTCCTGGGCATCGCTTTTTCAGGTCGCTGAGGAGAATAAGTTGGAGTTCTTTGAGCCGGAGATGGTGAATGGTTCGCTTCGGATTCCTAAATCGGTCATCGAGGAAGGGATGAAGAAGTGGGAGCATAGCCTTGTCGGGCAGTTTCTGGTCTCTCCTCCATCATTATCGGCGCTTCGGAATTGGGCGAATTGGATTTGGGGTAGGGATGGGGCGGTTAAAGTTTCATGGCTGGAAGATCATCTCGTACTTTTCCAATTTCCCACAGAAGAGGTTTGTCGATGGGTGTTTGAAGGGGGTCCGTGGCACTACAAAGAGAAAATCGTTTGTCTCAGACGGTGGGTTCCAGGGATTCGAGCTCTTGATATTGATAATTCGGTGATACCAGTCTGGATAAATCTGTCTGGGCTTCCAGCGGAACTAGTTTTGCGAGAAGGGTTGGGGAGAATTGCTAGTGCAGTGGGGAAACCGCTTTGTATGGATCATTCGACCTCCAGGGGTGAACGAGTGGGGCGTGCTAAGGTTTGTGTGGAGGTAAGTGCGAAGAAGGCAAGGATTGATAAAATCAGTGTTATTCCAGATGAGATGCCTGAATTTACTATTGGAGTAGAATATTGTGGGCTTCCGAAATGCTGTGCGAAGTGTCTGGTCTTTGGGCATGATTGTGAAACTCCTCCTTCAGGGACTCACACAAGACAGGTTTGGAGAGTTAAGAAGCCTCAGGTTGCTGTTGTGGCTGCAAGTGCAGAAGGAGAGGGTGCCAAGGGGTCTGAGACTGCAGTAAAAGATAAGGGGAAGGCAGTGGTGGTTGATACTACACCTCCAATAACCCCCAGCGCTTTGCCTACCCAGGAAGAGTTCAACAAAGTCATTAATGGAGTAAAATCCAAGGCTAAGAAATCTGTTACACCTGTGATTCACGCAAACGCTTTTGAGGTGCTATGTGGAAACAAAGAGATCACCCTAAAACCTCCACCAAAGAAGACAGTGAGGGAGGGTTTAAGAAGTCAGGGAGGAGCCACCAAGGTGGTGCAATCTCGTAAATGACGGTGCTCATATGGAATACAAGGGGCTTCAACAGCCCAAGGAAGCATGGAACGATGCTTCAGTACTTGCAGAAGAACAAGGTATCTTTGTTTGCATTATTAGAAACTAGAATACAAAAAGCACAAAAAATTGATGAAATAAGGCAAAAATTTGGCGAATATCAATTCATAGACAACTATGACAAGCATAGATTGGGTAGAATCTGGATTGGTTGGAGGACTGGGGTTAGTCTCCGTGTATTAGTGGCAGAGGAGAATTACATTCATACTTTGGTCACTTTAGAAAATGATGAGCAGTTCTTCTTCACTGCGGTTTATGGTGCCAATGAAGAGAAAGAAAGACTGTCTACATACAGAGATTTAAGTAAGTGGAAAGTGCAGGGTTTTCCCTGGATGATTGGGGGAGATTTTAATGCTATTCTACATCCCTCAGAAGCTTCAAAAGAGGTGGCTCTATCAGCTAGTATTACTGATTTTAGGGACTGGATTAGACAGATGGAGGTGGTAGATCATACTGCCACAGGGCCACTATTTACATGGTCAAATCAACAGAAGGACAATCCAATTGCTAGGAAGCTGGATAGGTTATTGATTAATGTGGACTGGTTATCAAAGTTTCCTGAGAGTGTTGTTTCTTTTTTGGCTCCGGATTTCTCGGATCACTGTGGTATCTTGGTTAATACTAGGCTTCCTGTAAGGAAGTTTCCCAAACCTTTTAAGTTCTTTGATATGTGGCTTCAGCAAGAATCTTTTAGTTCTATTCTAGAAACAAGCTGGAACACTGCAGTAGAAGGAAGGGGGCTATGGGGTATCAAACAGAAGTTAAATGTGTTAAAACAGGAGCTGAAGACTATGAATAAAAGGGAGTTATGGGACATCTCTGTGAAAGTGTTGGAGAAAGAAGAGGAAATGAAGAGAGCTCAGTTAAAAGCTCTTGAGGCACCCTCGCGGGATCTGTTTGAAGAGATTAAACGAGTAACAGAAGATTTTATACGTGTAAAGCAGGCTGAGGAATCTTTCTTTAGACAAAGATCCAGGATATCATGGCTGTCATTGGGGGATATGAATTCATCTTTCTTCCATAATATTGCAAAGATAAGAGCAGCTAGGAAACAGATTAGGAAAATTGTAACTTCCTCAGGTGAAATATTATCAGATGTGGGAGATATTGCGGAGGAGGCAGTTAGGTATTATCAGCAATTATTTGGGGTGGTGAATCAAGAGGTTTCTGTGGATGAGACTCTTATTGAGGATGCTATTAGATACAAACTTGGTCTAGAGAATCAGATTTGGTTGTGTGAGGAGGTTTCTAGCAAGGAAATTCATGATGCTCTCTTTGAAATGAATCCTCATAAAGCCCCTGGCCCAGATGGATGGACTGCAAATTTCTTTCAAAAGTGTTGGGGGACTATTGGTCCAGAGGTGGTGAGGGGAATCCAACAATTTTTTACTGATTTCAAGCTGCCAAAAGGTATGAATTCTGCCTCTTTGACTCTGGTACCAAAGATTGCAAATGCTGACCAGTTGAATGCCTTTCGACCTATAGCTTGTATTAATGTCATATACAAAATTATCTCCAAGGTCCTTGCAAATAGGTTGAAAGCTGTGTTGTCCTCTGTCATTAGCAGAAATCAGTCTGCCTTTATTAAGGGTAGAAGTATTGGGGAGAATATATTGATGGCACAGGAAATTGTGCACAATTATAAGAGGGAAAACATTTCTTCTAGATGTGCAGTCAAAGTAGATCTTCGAAAAGCTTTTGATTCTGTAGACTGGAACTACTTAAGAGTGGTAATGGAAAAAAT